GGGCCACGAAGGGCATACGTAACTATTGGGCCGCGGAGGGCAAGGACGGGGCCACTGAGGACAGCAACGGGGCCACGAATGGCAGCGAGGGGGCCACGAAGGGCGACAGCGAGGCCACGAAGGGCATGCATATGGGGCCACCACAGGCACGAACGAGCGGGGGCCACGAAATGCATACACACATATATATATATATATGTATATATATATACATATACATATATATATATATATATATGTATGGGGCCACGAAGGGCAGCGAAGGGGCCACGAAAGGCTGCAACGGGGCCACGAAACAAAGCGAGGAGGCCACGAAAGGCTGCAACGGGGCCACGAAGGGCAGCGAGGGGCAACGAAGGGCTGCAACGGGGCCACGAAACAAACCGAGGGGGCCACGAAGGGCTGCAACGGGGCCACGAAGGGCAGCGAGATCCCGATTGCTAAATAATCTGTGAGGGAGTCATAAGCGTCAGCGCGATTCCTGGGTGCTTGAGTGTCGGGAGCGCGGCGATAGAGCGAATTGTGGGATATTCCAACGCAAGGGCTTTATCCTTAAGTAAATTGCAAGCACGTCTCCAGCGAGAGCGCGACTCCAGAGCGCCGGGAGGGCGATTCCTGAGTAAATTATATGGAAGTCCCAAGCGAGAGCGCGATTCCTGAATAAACTGCAAGGAAGTCTCGGGCGGGAGCGGGGGTCCTGGCTAAATTGTGAGGAAGTCTCAAGAGGGAGCCGTTGTTGTTGTAACCTGGGGGCCAGGGGCAGAGTTTGAGAACCAAGACTTTCCCTGTCAAAAACCAGGGTGCGAGCGTCGAGGGGCACACATTGATTGAGAAACAACAATATACACAGGTGAGGGGGGATCAGCAATACTTCTTCTTCAGAAATGAAAATTCAACAACAACGACAACAACAGCAGCACCAGCACCAGCACCAGCACCAGCACCAGCAACAGCAACAATCATTTAAAGACTGTTCGCTGCACGCGGGCCCTTCAGCACGTATGTCCCGAAACCTCGATACCCGCCCTCTTCGTCGTCGATCGCACTCAGCTTTCATGTTGTGCAGGCCGTGCAACAAGAAACAGGGGAAGAGAAGACGGATGGAAGGACGGGAATAGGGAGAGGGAGGGTAGTGGAGCACGAGAGAGAGCAGTAGGGAGGCTAGGAGAACAAACGAATGGCATAACCAGACGGGCCCATCAGCAGGTAGACCCTAACAAGCGGGTGGGGAAAGCGGGCCCAGGCGGCCAGGTCGAGCAGGCGGGTTGCTGACGCGTGCGCCCTGCATGCATCGCGAGGAGAACTCGAGCGATAGTGCGATTCCCAAATAAATCGTCAGGCAATGCACAGCGAGAGCGTGATTCCTGAGCGTCGAGGGCGCGGTGTCTGAGGGCGCGGCGTCTGGAAACATTGAAAGAAAAACCCACGCGAGAGCTCGATTCCTGCATACAGTGTGAAAAACAAACCGTGCGAGAGCGCGCGTCTGGAATACAGTGTGAAGAAGCATTCGGCGGGAACCGCTGCTATAGTAAACCGTTGGCCAACAATCAAATTTGGTGTCACATCACCCTCCCTTGTATAGAAAAAACACGATGCGAGCCACAGAAGGAGCACTTACATTGAAACATACAATGGGTGCCCTGGAAAGGATCAACAACACTTATTTGTTAGTAAAGCAAATCTTAGAACAAATACCACAACAACACTCATTTTAGGACTGTTCGCTCTTACCTGCCCGCGTGCCATTCAACACGTCTATCCCGAAACTTTGGTACCCGCCCACTTCGTCTTCGATCGTGCCGCATTTGGGGTATATCTTCCTTACCTGCGGCGCGTAATTGGTGCAGCCCCTGAAACAGGGGAAATGAAGACGGATGGAAGGGAGAGGGAGAAGAATGGAGCAAGGGATCCGCAGGAGGGTGGCTAGGAGCACAAACACGTGGCAGAACAGGACGGGCCCATCGGGCGGGGAAACCGAATAAATCGTGAGAGAGGACAGGCGGCAACGTGATTCATGGATGTCGAGGGCGCGGCGTCTGAATAATTTGAAAGAAATCCCACGCGAGTGCGCGACTCCTGCATGCATTGTGGGAAATCCCGCGCGAGACCGCGTCGTAACCAAAACACGGTGCGAGCCCCAGAGGGAGCACGTTGGCTGAAACATAGAATGGTTACCGGAAAGGGGGGATTACCAACACTTAGACTTCAAAGTGAGAACTCAACAACATTAAAAACAACAACACACAACAAACACAACAACCACATCAACGACAAGAGCAGCAACAACAACAACAATCATTTGAAACATGTTCGCTCTTACCTGCTTGCGGGTCACTCAACGCGTATGTCCTGAACCCTCGATACCCGAGCTCTTCGTCTTCGACCTTACTCCCTCAGGGGTAGAACTTTCTTGCCTGCAATGTGTATTTCGTGCAGCCCCTGAGGCAGGGGAAGAGAGGACGGACGGATGGAAATGACAAGGGACGAGGGGGAAGAAGGATGGAACACGAGAGGGAGTAGCAGGAGGGGGAGCAGAAAAACACGAGGCAAAACCAGACGGGCAGATCGGGCGGTAGACCCTAACGGGCGGGTCGGGAAGGCGGGCCCAAGCGGCCAGGTCGAGCAGGCGGGTTGCTGAAGTGTGCGCCTTGCATGACTCGTGCGGGAGTTTCGAGCGATAGCACGATTCCCAAATTTTTCGTGCAGCAATCGCGGGGAGGGGCGCGATTCCTGAGTGTCGAGGGCGCGGCGTCTGAATTAATTGAGACAAAGACCCACGCGAAAACGCGATTCCTGCAAAATGGTGAGGAAGTCCCGCGTGAGAGCGCGATTTGAGAATACACTGTGAAGAGGTATCAGGCGAGAGCCGCTGTTGTTGTAAACCTGGGGCTAACCACAGAATTCTGAGACTCAAGATGTGATCTGATAAATAACAGGGTGCGAGCCCAAGGAAAGGCACTTCAATTTCAAAACTCGATGTACCCCGAAGGGGGGACACCAATACTTATGCTTTTAAAATGAAACTTCAACAACAACTACACCAACATCATAAACAACAACAACAACAGCAACAACAATAACACTAACACCACCACCAACAACAGCGACGACACCACCACAACCACCAAAAACAACAACAACAACCACAACAACAATGACACTAGCAGCAGCAACAACAACAACAACACCAACAACAACAACAACAACCACAACTACAACCACAACAACCACAACAACAGCAGCAACGGCTCCCGCCTGATGTTTCCTCACAATGTATTAAGAAATCGCGCTCTCACGCGGGACCTCATCACAACGTGAGCAGGAATAGGGCTCTCGCGTGGAACTTCCTCGCTACAAACGCACTCTCGCTCTGGTTTGTCTCACGATTCACTTGCGAATCGCGCTATCGCTTAAGACATCCTCGCGATTCATGCGTTACTCATGCTTCAACAGCACGCCTTCTCGACCGGGCCGCTTGGGCCCGCCCCGCCCTCAAGACCCGCCCGTGACGGTCTACCCGCCCGATCAGCCTGTCTGGTTATACTCCGCGTGTTCTGCTCCTAGCCCCCCTTCTGCAAAATCCCGTGCTCCATACTTCTCCCTCCCCCTTCCATCGTTCTTCTCTTCCCCTGTTTTAGGGGCTGCGCCAACTACACTCGGCAGGCAAGGACAAGGCACCCACACGATCGCAGACGAAGAGGGCGGATGTCGAGGGTTTGGGATAGACGTGTTGCACGGCACGCGGACAAACAAAAACGATCACTACATCACTACAACATGACTGTGGTCGTCGTCCTCGCCCGCGGCCCGCCCGCGACCCCACCACGCGACCCACCCCGCGACCCACCCGCGACCCACCTACGACCCACCCACGACCCACCCACACTGCTTTGATCAGCATTTGGCGCCTGCGGCTGGCGCGCTGTGCAACGTGAAGAAACATGGCGCCTGCAGCACTAGCACTGCCGACGACCCCGCCGCCCCCCGCACACTCATCCGCAACAGCAGGGCGCTGCGGCACTTCTAGTTCTCGCGCGCGCGGTGGCCCCTGGTCACCAGCCTCGAACTTATCCCTATCCCTAAGATGGGCGAGCAAAAAGCGAGGACAATCTTAGGGATAGGCCCTCAGAAACGGAGGGAATCCTTAAGATCGGCATCGAGGTGAGGTGATCTCAAACCTAGGGATAGGGACATGTTTCAAACTGGTAACCTGGGGCCCCCGTCGAAAGCTACCCCCGGCAAGTCACGGCACGGTCCAGGGCACGGATGCTGGACTTCCCGGGCGCGGCCCTGGGGCCCCCCGGCGCTCAAGAAGAAGGTCCAAGACAGCTTCAAGACTGCCCCCGAAGCGCCCAGGACGGCCCAGGAGGGCTCCCACGAGTCACAAGACCCGAAGGGGGCCCCAAAAGGCACCGCCAATGATTTTGCTCAGGTGCTGGAAACATGTTGAAAGATTGGGGCGTTGCGGCATTTGCGGGCCTCCGACCGCCCAGGACGGGCCCAAAGGCCACCAAAACCGCTGCAAGTCAGCCCAATAGGCTCCCAAGGCGGTCCCCAGACGACTCCAAGACGGCCCAAGAGGCCTCTCACGAGAGCTGCAGAGGCCTCCAAGAAGGCCCCACACCGAGGTTGGCAGAGAAAGTTGGCGGCGCGCACACAAGGGGGGGGGGGGGGCTTGGCGCGAGGGGGCCAGCCTTCCAAAAGGGCGGGTGGGGCTTCTGAGGACCGCGACCGATGCAGCACACTCCATCTTCGACCTGCTCCTCCACCCGCTCCTCCTCCTCCTCCTCCACCTCCTCCTCGTTCTCCTCCTCTTCCCTCCACCCTCTCCTCGGCCTCGGCGTCGGCGTCCTTATCCTCAGCATCATCAGCCGCGGCCATGTAGACATCCGCCCCAATTCTTTGTCATCATTTGGCTGCGCCTCAGGGACCTTCCGCCAAACCTAAACTCGCAACTGCAGTCGAGCAACTCATTGTCTCTGCGACTCCCCGGCTAAGTGCTACAATGCTACGAAGAAGATGGAGACACTAATCGAGAAATGGCGCGACTCCTGCAACTTGACGGCCGGCTCGGGTCGGAACACGTTCATGGCCGTCGAGCCAGTGGCGAGGTTGATGTTGGCGTTGTAGAACTTGTCCAGCGGATCCTTCTCCTCGGGGCGGCGAGGCGGGCTGGCTGCTGGCTGTGACCACAGTGGAATTAAGACAAAGGCGAGGACGCACACGCACTTACTGCAAGGCCTCCTCCTGCTCCTCCTCCTCCTCCTCCTCCTCCTCCTCAACCCGCTATCGCAGGGGGGCCAGTTGAGACAAGAAAGGCGGCTCCACCGCCCAGCCAAAGTCCGCTAAACAAAAATCCGTCTCCAGACTTCTCCCAGGGTTCATGCTGACTCCTGACCCGCTCCTCGACGCAGATCCAGCAGTGGCGAAGAGGAACCTCCAAGAGACCATCAACGCAAAAAGAACGCCGGGGAGGGCCGCCGTCTTCTCGATTGGCCCTCCTTCGATCCTCCCCTCCCGCGCGCCTCCTCCTCTTCCCACCAACGCCTCGAATTCTTTCGAAAAAGACACGGGCCCCCGACATCTCGACCACTGCCACGGGACCGGTTCTTCACTCCGCGTCGCTTCTGGACAGTCCCGAGGCCCGGCAGGGGCCCCGAGGGGCAGAACACTAGGAAAACCGGCCCTGACCTCCCAGGAGGGCCCAAACAAAAACACCATGACCTGGATGTCGACGTTCCAGTCGAGGCTCTGAGCACTCCAGATAGGTTTCTAAGCCTGCAGTGCCATTTTCTATGAAGAGGCCCCAGGCCACACAAAAAAATACACACAAATACAAGTATTACCCATATTTTCCTATATTTTCCGGGTTCTGTCTTCCCCCCCACTCCCCATATTTTCCCATATTTTCTGGGGAATCGAGGATTAATTGTGTCTGTGTGTTTTTTCCCCTCCTGATTCTACCACTCCTGGAAGGTCAGGGGATGCCTCCAAACCTTTCCGAGACGCCCGGCGCCTGGGATGGGCCGGCGCCCTCGGCGCGGCGATGGGGCCACGTCGCGGCGGCGGCCGCCGCCGCGCTCAGCCAGGGGAGGGGAAGGATTTCGTGGTGGCGAGCAGAGGGAGGGTAGGGGGAGGGGGGAAGGCCTCTTAGAAGCACCCCTGCTTCTTAGAAGGCGCAGGCCTTACATCTGTAGACACGGCCTCCGGGCACCAGGGACCCCCGGCGCCCGGAGGCCGTTGACGGGCCACGAATGTCTATCAGAAACGGGCCAGGGGGCGGAAAACAGGCCCGGGGGAAAGAGTCGTGACATCCAGGCCAGGGCCGCGCATTGAAGAAAAACAGATCGGAAGATGCCAAGGGACGAGGACGACGAGGACGACGATATGAAAACCCGACATGGGTGCCAAACAAAAATGGCCCCGTTTGCCCAACAACAACTAATGCCCCAAACCGACACCGATCGCTGTTGGGCTGGCGACCTTCTATCTCAAGTGGATTTGGCGTCCGCGGCGACGCCGGCAACGCGCCCTGAACCAAATGGGCAAGAGATGCGGTTGGTCTTCGGGCCCAGCCTCACCGTGCCCATTCTGGTCGTCCCAGGACGAGAGGGGGACGGGACGGGGGCGACGCCAGTTCGCGCCTGGGTGTCGCGCGGCGCCGCCACCACCCCAGACTTGGGAGTGGAAGGGGCGCGGGGGGGGGTGAGGATGGGAAAGAGGGGGGGCGAGGGGGAGGGGAGGGGGCGAGGAGGGTGGAGGGGATGGGGGGAGGAGGGGAGGGGGGAGGGGGAGGGGAGGGGAGGGGAGGGGAGGGGGGGGGAAGGGGAGGGAGGGCGGGGGGGGCCCTTGTGAAAGGTAGAAGCAAAGGGCCGATCCTGAAATGAGGGAACACCATTTCGAAACATCAGAAAACTGTCCACCGATTGAAAACTCAACACTTGATCTATAATGCTTCGAAATTCCGTGTGGGAAACTCTACGCTGGAGACAAGGGGGGGGGCTCGCACAGAATCCCGGGAGAGAGGTGAGACGTACTCATATTGAACAAAAGGTAAGGAGGGATGCAGAGGGAAAGGGGAGCGGGAAGAAGAGGAGGAAGTCGAGAAAGGAGGAGCACGGCGGCGACGACGAGGAAGAAGAAATCGAAAGCGGCATGGTAGGCCGCAGCACGTAGAGCGTCTTAGACGCTCCCCATGTCTCAGCTGTGACGTAGCGTAAGCAAGGAATAGCGAGAAGGGACGTGGGACAGTAGATGCGGGAGGAGGACGGCGACGACGACGAGGAAGAGGTTTGGCTTGCTAGGGATTCCGCCATCACACAGTGAGTAAAGGCTTTGACAGAGCTGAGCGCTTCGGGAATACGTGGCACCCTCGCGGCAGACAACCCTAAACGTATTTACACCACTGCGATGCGGGCCACGATAAGGGTTGCGATGGGAGGATCGGAATGGGGGATGGGATGCAGGGATATAGGGCTACGAAACGTGGACTAGGGGGTATAAGGGCTGCTTAGGGAAGTGTCACGATTACAATGGCACTGAGACTGATGTAAAGGCGAATGCGAACATCACTAATGAAACCAATACTTACACCAGTCCTACCGCTGCTACGAATGCGAACACTGACACGAATGCGGGAAACGATACCAATGCGAATTCTGTACGGTTGCTAGTACTGCTGCTCATCCACCTGCTACTCGTCGTAGCAATCCGCCTCCGTGACCTGGGGCACGAGTTGGATTGCCCTCAGGTCCGTTGCCTGATCCCTCAAGCCTCATGAGTATCGTTTAACCGATCCCCATCCCCAGCGGCGTAGCCTGGGCCCAACTGGCCGAAGTACCCCCCTAGATGGGGATATAAGTCGTTCTCTTTGGGTTTCGAGAAGCGTATCCCCAACTGGGGGGTAGTTTGGTGGGGGTCTCGAAGGAGACGGGGATTGGGATGGCGATCGGTTAAACGATACTGACCTCAGCCCTCGATCCCGAAGAGCCTTCAAGGGGCCCAGGCCCCGAATTGACATACCCCCTTCAGCTCCCGGCGTGACCCCCGCAGCTCCTGGCACGTTCCCGCCCTACTTTCTCGGAGGCACGAGGGCCACAAGATGGGCTGAGAGGGTCCCCAAGAGGCCCCCAAGAAACGTCCAAGCGGGCCCCGAGTCGCCATACGATCGGCCCAAGACCGCCAAGCTTGCCCAACGAGGGCTGAAGAGGCGCCCCAGCCGCCCAAAGAGAGGCCCAAGAGGCCTCCAAAGAGGGACCCAAGAGGCACACATCGCGAAACTCCCATAGGGAAGCATACACTTGCGGCATATACTCCTGTTCTGCCTTGCGGCATTCAAGACGGCCCAGAGGCCCCCAAGATCACCCCAAGACGGCCGAACATGTCCCAAAGAGGGCCACAAGACGGCCCAAGAGGGCTCAAATGAAGCTCCAAGAGGGCTCAAGAGAGCCTCAAAAAGGGCCCATGTGGACCCCACAGGGGAAGCCCGAAACAACAATTCGGACTTTCCGCCCCAAGATATCCCCAGGAGGCCCCAAGAGGGCCCCCGAATAGGCCCCAAGAGGGCCCCGAGACGCCCCACGAGGCCCCAGAACGGCCCCACAGAGGCCCCAAAACTGCCTCCAAGAGATCTTCGACAGGCCTCCCACATCCCGACGACCATCCAAGAGGCCCACGACCCACAACCCAGGCGCGGTGGCGGGATGGGCCGACAGCCAGTAGGTCCGCCGCCCCTGTTGATCCATCACAGGGGGGCCCGGCGTGCTGGATCCTAAACGGCTTGGTTTTGGTTCTTTTCCAAAAGAACTACCCCCTGAGGCTCCAGCCCGTCCTGCCGGCCACCAGGAAAGGCGCGCAATCGCGCACAACGTCCCCCAAAAATCGTCCAAGACGACCCAAGATGGCCTCCAAGACGGTCAAGATGGCCCCAGATGGCCTCCAAGATGCCTCCAAGACGGCCCAGAATGCACCCAAGACGGCCTACGACAGCCTCAGGATGGCCCAAGACGGCCCAACAGGCCGCCTAGGGGCCTCCAAGACGGCCCAAGAAGCCTCTAAGAGGTCCTCCAGGAACGCTAGAAGAACCCAAAGTCTGTGACGTTCCTTTCGTGTTTGACGGATTGTGTCATTTGCGCCTTCTCGTCTTTCAGACGGCCCAAGACGGCCGAGAGGCCCCCAAGGTCGCCCCGAGATCGCCCAAGAGGCTTCCAAGAGGGCCCCATGACGGCCCAACAGGCCCCCAAGATGGTCCCCAAAAGGCCCCGAGACGGCCCAGGAGGCCTCCAAGACGGCCAAGATGGTCTCCAAGAAAGCCCTGAAGCGCCCGAAGAGGGCCCCCAGTCGGTTCAGAGAGGCCCCCAAGACGGCTTCCGACGGCGTCAGACGAGTCAGGAACGCCCTAAGACGGCCAAAGAGGCCCCAAGAAGCCCCTAAGGCCCCCAAGAGGCCCCCAGGTCCAGGGAGGCTCCCAAGAGACCTCCGAAAGGCTCGCGGGAAGCTTCGCAGATGCCACCCAAGAGGCCTCTCTTGAGGCCTCGCAAGAGGTTCCCAAGAAGATTCCTCCTCCTCCTCCTCCTCCTCCTCGTCCTCCACCTCCTCCTCCTCCTCCTCCTCTCTCTCTCTCCTCCTCCTCCTCTCATCCTCCTCCTCCTCTGCTCCTCCTCCTCCTCCTCCTCATCCTCCTCCCTCCTCCTCCTCATCCTTCTCCTCCCCCTCCTCTCCTCCTGCTCCTCCTCTCCTCCCTCCTCCCTCCTCCACCACCTCCTCTCCTCCTCCTCCTCCTCGCCCTCCTGCCCCACCTCCTCCTCCTCCTCTCCTCCTCTCTCCTCCTCCTCCTCCTCCTCTTATTATCCTTATTCATATTATTATTATTCGTCTATGCTTCTTATTATTATGATTATTCTTATTATTATTATCCTTCGTATTCTTATTATTATTATTATTTATTTTATTATTCCTCCTCCTCCTCCTCCTCCCCTCCTCCTCCTCCTGCTCCTCCTGCTCATCCTGCTCCTCCTCCTCCTCCCCTCCTCCTCCACCTCCTCCTCCTCCTCCTCCTCCTCATCATCCTCCTCCTCCCCCATCATCATCATCATCCTCATCCCCATCCCCATCCCCATCCTCATCCTCCTCCTGATCATGATCCTCCTCCCTCTCCTGACCCTCCTCCTAGTTTTACTTCCCAACGCTTTCCCCGAAGGCTTTCCAAAACGACACAGTGAACAACTGGCCCGAAAGTTTGGCCAAGATCTAGCCCAGCTGCCAGCCACATAGGCGCTTCCAAAAGGGCAGGGGGAGGCGGTGATTCGCTGTAGGCGTCGTGGATACTGATACTAATGCTACCAGGGGGGGGGGCACGGGAGGCCATCTCACCGCACCGATTCCAAATCAGGCCGCGCCAATGCGGCAATGGGAGGCCACGGAAAACAACGGGAAACCACGTCGCCCAACTGATGCCGGATCCGGCAGCGCACCTACCAGTTCCGTGAACAGCGTTTACCGAGCCCTTACAAACAACTCGGCGCTCCTCGGAGAACTCCACGAGGGTCCTCGGCGGTATTCCGCGAGAAAGCCGGACGGTCGCGCGACGTCGTCGTGATGCTCCCTCGAGACGTTAGTCTGCGGACATCTCGTCCTCCTACCCAGGACTGTTTTTTTGTCTGCGGCGGGGCGATGTCTGCGCCCAGGGACGGCCTGCCGAGCCCCAGGTTGAGGAAGCACATGCCCGCCGTGGTGCGCTTTTGTTTCGCAGCGCTGGAAGTCTGGTGAGGGGGAACGGGGAACGTTGGGGTGAGCAGGCTCACAGCCAGATCCGCGACAGGCAACCGACGGCAGATCCGCACGTTGCTGGGCGGGGTTGGGCTCTCGGGCTCGTGTCGGCGATGAGTGGGCGACTGGCGGCCGCTGCATTCCCCCCTCGAGCCTATCCCCCTCCCAAACACACAAATATCGACCCTGGTCTGGACTCTGGCCCTGGCTCCTTCCGCAAGCCCTTGACGAGCTTCAAGAACTCCACGTCGACGAGGCCGCAGATCATCGCCGTGGTCGTCGCCAGGGCGGGGATGATGCGGCCAGCCGTCACCTGGGTCGGTGGGGGCTCGCTTGTCGCCATCGTCGCGGGGGGGGGATCAGGCGTGGCAGGGCCCTGAGGCGCAGCCAGAGGGGAAGAAGGATGAGCAGCAGGAGGGCGAGGCGGGGTGGCGAGGACGAGGAGGACGGAGGAGGCCGAGAAGGGCGGCGAGGACGAGGAGGGGGGACACCAGCGCCTCGACTGGTGCCCGAGCGAACAGCGAGGAGAAGGGGCGAGGAGGAGCTGCACTGCAGCCGAAGCGTGGCCACAAGGACGTGGCTCCTCCTTTCCCGACGCCCCTCTCGCCATCCCCGAGCCTTCCTCCTCCGCCCTACTCCTCATCGGCCCCCCCTCCTCCTCCTCCTCCTCCTCCTCCTCCTCCTCCTCCTCCTCCTCCTCCTCCTCCTCCTGCTCCTGCTCCTCCTCCTCCTCGTCCTCCTCCCCCTCCTCCTTCTCCTCCTCATCCTACTCCTCCTCCTCCTCCTTCTCCTCCTTCTCCTCCTCATCCTCGTCCTCCTCCTCCTCCTCCTCCTCCGCGCCTTCTCCTCCTCCTGCCCCCCCTGAGTGGCCCCGAGGACGCTGGCACACCCGAGGGAGCCGCAGAGGCGGGTCGGGACACCCTGAACCTACCAGCCATCTGGGCGTTACCCCCGCGACGAGATGGAGCGTCCAAGATGGCCCAGGATGGCGCGCGATAAACCGATGTGGCTGAAGATGACCTTCAGCATGCCTGAAAGAATATCCCAAACCGTCCCATGAGGGATCCAACCTGCCACGGAGCCTCTCAGGGAGCCCGCCAGAGGCCAACATGCATTTGCAATGGTATGTGCATCCTCGCCGTTTCGCTTCCGATGGGGTTCCTGCCTCCCCGATCGCCCGAAAGAGCGCCAGAGGACCATACCCGCTTACTAAAACCTCTGGCCGCCATGCGGAACCATCAGGCTCCGCGGATTAGGCGCTGATCCTACTCCAGGTTCAGTTTCCAGTCTCCAGTCGCCAATGCGTCAATTCTGCGGTCTGCTTCCTACTGTGAATTGTTGAAATCCACACGTCGGGGGGAGCCGAAAAGGACCCCGGATACCTTCACCTGGGGGGTTCTCGATGTTTTGGGGGTCCTGGGACACACGCAAAAAATGTGATGCTCGCGCCCCCGAAGCCCGAATCCCTCGTAGAGCATGTTCGCGCCCCGGAGGCCATAATCATTTAGCAAAGTGAGGGGGCCGAACGGTCATTCATTGTCCCTGGGCGCGTGGTTGAAAACTGGGGATTCGTGGTGAAAATTATGTATGTTGCGTTGTTGTTGTTGTTGTTGCTGCTGTTGTTGTTGCTGCTGCTGTATCTGGTGTTGCTGTTGTTGTTGATGCTTGTTATCGTCGTCCCACCCGCGACCCACCCCGCGACCCACCCCGCGACCCACCCCGCGACCCACCCCGCGACCCACCCCGTGACCCACCCCGCGACCCACCCGCGACCCACCCGCGACCCACCCCGCGACCCACCCCGCGACCCACCCGCGACCCACCCTGCGACCCATCCGGGACCTGCCCGCGACCCACTTGCGACCCGCCCGCGACCCACCCCGCGACCCGCCCGCGACCCACCCCGCGACCCACCCGCGTCCTAACAGCGACCAATTTGCGACCCACCCGCGATGCATTTGCGACCCACCCACGACCCACCCACATTGGTTTGATGGGACAATCTGCGCCTGCGGCGGGCTCGTTGGATAATTTGCGAAACTTTGGCGGGATTCTCTCGAATCTCGCCAACTTCATCTGCGGGGTGCTACGTACATAATCCGCCGACCCTGTCGGCGTGTGTGAGGGGTTTCTCCGTTCGACTCGTCGTCTCCGTTCTCCCCCTCCCAAGGCTCTCCTCCTCAAGCGCCCTATCCAAAGCGAAATTAAACGACGTCGTAGTGGAGTCGAAGGGGAGCCCCTTCCCTTTGATCCCTTCCCCGCAGGGGGGGGGGGGGGTGGGGGGGCCGGGGCAGATACGACGCCCGCCGGGGGCGCACACTTTCCTCGAGCGTGCACGCACGGATGCACTTCCTCCTCCTCCTCCTCCTCCTTCTTTTCCTCCTCCTCCTCCTCCTCCTGCTCCTCCTCCTCCTCCTCCTCCTCCTCCTCCTCCTCCGCAGAGGCGTCCCGGGAGCGGGCCCCGAGTCAAAATACCACCCCACTAGGGCGCATTTCCTCGAGCGGGCACGCCCGAGATGCACTTCTTCCTCTTCCGGGAGCACGTCCCAAGTCAGAGTATCACACTCCCGGGGCGCACTTTCTTCGAGCGGGCACACAAAGGATGCACTTTCTCCTCCTCCTCCTCCCTCTCTCTCCTCCTCCTCCTCCCCTCCTCCTCCTCCTCCTCCTTCTCCTCCTCCTCCTCCTCATCCTCCTCCTCCTGCTGCTCCTCCTCCTCCTCCTCCTCATCCTCCGCTTCCTCACCCCACTCCTAGCCCTTTCGATCAGGGTCGGCGGCACCGGCCGTCAGGCCTCTCCAATACAAAGTTTGCGCCTCCGAGGCCACAAGCCCTTGCAAAGTACGCTGTGCTCGCGCTCCCGAAACCATACCTCTTTGCAAAGTACACCATATTCAGACCCCGAGTCGGCCTTCGCGTCCCCGAAATCCTAAATCCCGAGTGAAATATTGAGTAATTGCGCTTTCGAAGCCACAACCCTGAATAAAAAGGCCCCCAAGACGGTACAAGAGGCCTCCGAGACGGCCAACGAGTGCTACAAGGCGTTCAAGATGGCCCCGGGACGGCCCAAGAGGCTCCCAAGGGGTTTCCAAAAGCTCTGCAATAACACCCCCAAGAGGGGCCCAAGAGGCCAACACTTGCGATGTTCCTTAGGTTTTGGCACGCTCGCCCTTTCAGGCTGTCGACGATTCGTAGAACAAAAAAAAAGCCCTACGAAACCCCCCAAGACCGCCCCAAGGCGGACCAAGAGGCTCTCAATGACGCCCCAAGACGGATCTGAGGACCATCGAAGCGTCAAGAAGTTTCCACTAGGGATCCGTTTTGAAAGGCCCCTAAAGCACAAACAAACACAGACCAAATCCAAACATCACACATAACGCATCACACGAAAGTGAACTGGACACGAATGCTAACGATGAGAAGCGAGCTGAACCTTTTCCCCAACAACAACCGAAGCACTTTCCAAGCGTTGTCCTGGGGGAGGCCCGAAAGGAGGAGCGCGAGGCAACCGTGCGAGCCTTACGCAACCGTTTGGACGACGAGGCCGTCGAAGGAGAAATGCTTCGTCAGCTGGCGCACCACCGTGAGCCATGGCCTCATGATGCGCCGCGCACTGATGAGGCCGTCGGGGCTCTCCTTCGAGAGTGCGCCCAGAGGCCACGACCGCGTGGCAGCCTCAGCGGGCGACGCCTGCTGGGTGCCACCCGGTGGCCGTGCCAGCTCTGGCTGCAGGGCCCGTGTGTCAGTGTCCTGCTGGTGGGCGTCGGCGTCGCGGTTGGCCTCAGGTGTGCCCTGCTGCGCGGGAAGGTGCCGTCCCAAGGCCGGGAAGGTGCTGCCCTGGGGGCACCTGGTAGACCTGCCGCCTCGCCCATCCGAGCCGGCCGCCGCCGCCGCCAAGGCAGACAGCAAGGCGACGAGGAGAGGGCCGAGGGGACACCGCGGACGCGCCGCGCCGGGCTGGAGGCTGGAAGCCTTGGCCAAGATGAGCACAGAGGGGGCGGAGAATGAATGACACGAAGGACTCCGAAGGACTATATATGCAGGAGGAGGCGGCTCCAAGCTCTACATGAGCACAGGGGCGCCCTTGGCGGCGAGGGGCACCTCGGCGACAGGATCAGCCCCTCGAACAAGGGGCGTGTCCTCCTCAACCTCCTCCTCCTCCTCCTCCTCCTCCTCCTCCTCCTCCTCCTAGACCCTGGCGTCTAACCCCCCGAGACCACCTTCGTCCCACAATCGCTACTGTCACCGCCCCGGGGGGGGCCCAGGGAGGACCCAGGGCAACCCGAGCACGGAAGGACAGACCCCAGAGCAGTATCTCCAGGAACTCATCCTCCTCGTCCTCCTTCCCCCCTCCTTCCTTCCTCCCCCTTCTTCCTCCTCCGCCTCCTCCTCCTCATCCTCGTCCTCCCCCTCCTATCTCCTCCGCCTCCTCCGCCTCCTCCTCCTCGTCCTCTCCCACTCCTCCTCCTCCCATCCCCTGCATCACAAGCCAGAAGAACACCCCCTCCAAAACACGCCACCCAAAACTCAGTCCGCGAACCGCAGAGTCCCGCAGCGTCACTCCCCTCTAGAGAACAAGCAGCCGACGCGATCTACGCGGTGGTTCGCGCGCCGCGGACGTAGACCAGCAAGCGGGTGGGTCCCCTGGGGCGCAGGAAGCGGGTGGGATCACTGAGAGGGGCGCGCCATAAAAAAGGAGGCACACGCGGCCTCTCTTGGACACAGGAGGCCCAACGCAGCTGTGGGGAAGGCGAGGAAGAGTCCGAACTTGAGGGGGGAAGGGAAACGAGTAGACAGAGTGGTGCCACGAGGGCAAGCAGGAACAGAAGGAGTCGCGTCAATAACAATAGGCGCCGCATACCGACACAATGAACAGGACAACTTGCGGCAACAGGAGCGGGGGAACGGCAATAGGAATCCGCAATGCGCATTGATAGACGACCGCGGGCGCGTTCCGCGCAGAAGGCAGATGAAGAATGAAGCCAACCAGCCGCAGGAGAAGCCAGAACACGAGCAGGTCCGGGAGGGGGGTTCAGGGAGCGAGGGCGAGCTGGCCTTCACGTGGGCCCGCTCCGACTGCTTGATGTCGTAGTTGGCCGCCCGCATGTTCGTGCCTCGGGGAGGCCAGGCCGCGGCTGCGCGGGAGCCCATCCCAGAGCCGCTCGGGGCCGACCTGGCGTCATCTCGGGCAAGCTATTGGGCCCTCTCGAGGGAGCCTTTGGGCCGCGTCAGCAGCGCCTCGCGGAGCGCCCTCGGAGGCCGGCCATTGATGGGCCTGTTTTCCACCACCACCACCATAAGTTGGAGGGAGAGGGGGTCCTCCTCCTCCTCCTCCTCCTCCTCCTCCTCCGCCTCCTCCTCCTCCCCCTCCTCCTCCTCCTCCTCCTCCTTCCCCTCCAACTTATGGTGGTGGTGGTGGTGGTGGAAATCAAGCCCATTAGGCCAGCCTGGTGGACTCGCACGGCGAGCTTGCTGCCTGGACGGCGTGGGCCCCTGAGCTCTGACACCGCGTGGCCACCCGCAGCTCGGGCAGCCTGCGTGCAAGGCTGCGTGCGCTCCGCCCACTCCCCTCCGTCCCTTGCTCCCCCCTCCCTCTGCTGGGCAGCCCACAGGAGGACGCACGCGCCCAACCACGAGCACGAATGCAGCCTGGCGATACGAACGATCGCGCAATGTATCTCTACGGAACCAGCGTGGAGTCGTGTGCGCGTACGTCCTCCTGATGGTCTCGATCTTCGGCCGTGCACAATAAAGGGAGGAGGAGAAGGAGGAGGAGGAGGAGGGAGGAGGGAGGAGGAGGAGGGAGGAGGAGAGGAGAGGAGGAGGAGGAGGAGGCGGAGGAGGGAGGAGGGAGGAGGAGGGAGGACGGGGGCTTCTTCGCTGGCCAACACAAAGGGACCCCCTCAACCCGGAAGCGACCGCCGGAGCTCCTGGCAGGGCCCCTGCCGCCGCCCTCCCGCGCAGACCTCCCGCCGCGGGGCCGCCCTCCGTGCGGGCGCCCCCGAGGGCCTGGGGCGGGCACCCGAAAAGAGGGCGCCGCCACCCTGAGCCGGGGGGGGGGAAACCAAAAGCTCCTCCTCCTCCTCCTCCTCCTCCTCCTCCTCCTCCTCCTCCTCGCCTCCTCCTCCTCCTCCTCCTCCTCCTCCTCCTCCTCCTCCTCCTCCTCCTCCTCCTCCTCCTGGGTTCCCCACGGGCACCCGACGGGGGCGCCGCCATCCTGAGCCGCAGGGGGGGAAACCCCAAAGCAGCGGCGGGAGCGCACCACCTCCGCAACCAGGCTCCCCGCGGACAGCTCGCACAGGGCAGGTTGTAATACATAGGAGTTCTAAAAACATTGCATTTACAATCATGATCAATGTATGACTGAATGTATGCATGCACTCAGCCTTGTTTTTGCTACTAAATCCCTGCATGTTTAATATATGATCCGCACGCGGAGCATGTCTTAAAAACGGCACTGTAGGGAGCGTTTCCGCCCTCCCTGTGGTCTGGCGCGCTGTCCCGACATCCCGCGCGAGGCCGTTGCGCGCAGGACTGCGGCGCTCCCGCCGCACAGGCCCCCCTGCGGCGCTTTGCGCTTCGCCGTGCCCTGCGCCCTGCGCCCTGCGCCCTTCGCTTCGTCCTCCCTGCTCCTCTCCCTCGCCCGCGCCCTGCCCCTCCCGCGAAACCGTCGCGCTCGTGCCCGTCCCCTTCCCTCCTCGCTTCCTCCTCGTCCTCGTCCTCCACCTCAAGTCCTTGTCCGTGTGCATGACTTCTCCCCGTCGCGCCGCGAGGCCAGTTTGTAGAGCAGGCCTCGCTGCTCCTCTCCCTCGCCCTCGTAATGCATGCCACTCCCGCGGAGCCGTCCCGCTCGTGCCCGTCCCCTTCCCTCCTCGCTTGCTCCTCGTCCTCGTCCTCCACTTCCATTCCTTCTCCTTGTGCGTGACTCCTCCCCGTCGCGCCCCGAGGCCAGTTTGTAGAGCGGACCGAGCGTTTCGCCCGAAACTTCCTGACCACTTATGACCCTGACGCACAAACGTTGGCAACAATTTCGCATATGGAGGGCGGGTGGTCTTCAAACTGTGGCTCTCGCCGTAGCGATGCGCAATGGTTTACGAAGAAAGCAAGCGTTTCACGGAGTGAGTCTCGCCTAGCGCCGCGCACAGTCGTGTCAAAAATTTGCAAGGGTTTCTTCACATATTGAGGGTGTGTCGTTTTCAAGATGTGGCTCTCGCCCAAGCACCACGCAAATCCCTGCTTCAACACAGACGCAAACGTTTCACGGATTGAACGCGCATCGTTTCCAAAATGCGGCTGTCGCCTTAGCACCGCGTGCATCCTACTGGAAATTTGCAAGCATGGCACGGATTGCGGGCGGATCGTTTTCAAAATGTGGCTCTCGCCTAATCGCCGCCGTCATGATTTGAAGATTGCAAGGCATCGTCCCGCGATCAGCGTACCAGAAATCGTGTGTTGAAAAGCTTCAGGACTATTAGGGTGCAGTCGTTAGGTTGATTCGCGGCGTTGAAGGCCCAAGAATGGCGTTCTGGCACGAACCAAGATCGTCAAGACACAGCAGTCAGTTTGATCCGTGGCGTTGGAATCCCGAGACCAATGTTTTGGCATGCTTCAAGGTCTTCAAACAATTGTCTTTTACCGAAGCAATTCCCTCAGTGGAGATGAACCGTTGTAGGGGCCCATGAAGAGGGAACTTGGGGGGAGGGTTAATTCCAACATCGTTGATGACTCCTGGGTTTACACTGGTTCTCCTCCTCCTCCTCCTCCTCCCCCTCCTCCTCCTCGTCCTCCTCCTCCTCTTCCTCCTCCTCCTCTCGCTCGTCGTGCCTCGAGTGAGGCCCTTCCCTGTAATTTGTTGTTCCTGGTGTGGCAAAGGCTGCCCCCAGACATCGGACGCGTTGGCATACAGTGGACGCCAGTCCACAAGCAACTTTCCACAAGAAACCCAAACCTGAGACCCCAGGACGTCTATCGATTTTTGGTGCGGGAACGTGTGCTTCAACCAACGAAACCCAAGAATGTGTTTGCTTGTCACTTTAAGACGTGTGATGCTTATGTTAACCAACAGGCGGCCACGGCGCAACCGCTGCTGGACTCAGGCACACGGCGACGCAGGTGGCTGCCAAGCTCTGACATTTGAAGGGGCCCTGGGAGAAACAAAGAAGTAAACACAACTAGACGAACTCCCGATAGTCTCCCATACGTTTTGTGTTTTCGTGTCCCCCCCCCACTTCCCATAGTTTCCCATAGTTTCTGGGGAATCGACGATTCGTTTTGTCTGTGTGATTTCTTCCCCCTCCCGAGCATTGAGTGAGGACAGGACAAGGCGCCACGGGCGAGGTCCGCCTCCTCCCCGACGGGGGGGGCGTCAAAGGGCCAAGACACTGCTGGAGGCAGGCAGGGCGTCTCGTGGCACGGGGGCCCGCTGCAGCAAACGAGCGCCGAGGCACGCACAGCCACGCCTCCCGCCTCCGTGTCACGCCCCGTGAGTCGAAAGTGAGCCTGGTAACTCAAATAGGGCATATAGCCTGGCAAATAGCATCCATCGCTCTGCTGTGAGGGTACAGTATGAGGGGTGGATGGGTAAGATAGGATAAGATCGATGTAATGACCTTTCCAGCACATAGCGAACACAAGCAGTGTCCGGGCAAATAGGGCGCGCGTGCCTTGAGCCCAAGGCAGCGGCGCGCGAGCTATGCTCCCGATACTGTAACATCTCCCAAAGAGCTACCCTTAAAGTCGGGAGGGGAGGAGACGGAGAGCATAGTCGCACGCAAAGATCGCGCGCACGACTGTTAGCAAAGAAAAGAAAACAGTGCGTACAGTCTGGTCAAACACCAGACTGTAAGGCGAGTTTCCTCGCAAAGTATTTCACGCAAATACAGGACAGCCCCTTCAAACAATGAAGGGCTATCGGCTTGGTTAGAGGTAAGCCAACATTAGGCCATACCTCACCAAGCAAATGTGTATTAAGGCAAAGAGCCTGAGTTGTACGAAGCCGGCTCGTTGCCAGGCGTGAAATATAAGGCTCGTTTCCGAGCAGCTAAAGGGGCGCCTTTATAGTAGGCGCCCGTGCTGGCAAACTGGACCGCGAGGGCAACAAGGACAGACTAAAATTGATTAGACTTGGGTTTGTCTCTGTCCTCGGGACCCCGAAAGGGAACAAATTGCTTCACGTCATACTTAAATGACTGAGTGCCTGACATCACTTCCAGAAGCAGCTCCCGATCGATGCTTCCCTTTGTATGCCCATCTGCGGTCATATCCCTAGTATCACACCATTGCACATTATGTACTATACCTATATCCATGAGCTCACGTATCCAGCTGATATGTCCAAGCAGAGTCCGTTCTGTAGGTATTTTGAGATCCCTGCTTGATAAAGATTTGTAGACGGACTCAGCGTCTATGGTAAGAGAGACTTTGATAGCAAGGCCTCCAACTTCACGCATGTCTCGTAGTTGTCGTGGAGTCAAAGCCCCTGCCTTAAGCTCGTGGAGAGTAATGAGCGTAGGGTAACACTCATCAAGGTTATGTGCGGCTGCAAGTGCCTCCGCAGCATAACTGGACCTCACCTGTAATCGGTGTGATTTGCATAGTCCGTCACAGAGGTGAACGACGGACTTGCCTTGAGGCGAGTTTCCTCGCCGTAGTACGTTGGCCCCGCGTATGCCGTAGCCCTTGGTCTCGTCATCCTCCTCCCCGGTAAGCTTCCGATGCCCCGAATCGCTATGGATGTCAACTTCATTCGTCGGCTTCATCCGAGGGAAGGTGATACGTTTCGGGCTGCTGATCAGCTTTCGCGTCACAGCATTCAAACGTCTGACTTGCAAATTGGTGGGCTCTTGAATTTTCTGAAGAGAGACCACATATACCATGAGCCAGATTTGGGTAAGAAGGGCATAGGCGAGGGCTCCTCGCAGGCTGACGAACATGTCGGTAATGAGTTTCGTGGCTTTGGCGTCGGCCGCCGCTCCTGTAAGTTCTGGGTGTGTGATAGGACGTAGTTGTTTAATGTACTCGTCCTGGTCCATGATCACATCTCCCTGATCATTCTTAGTGTAGCGAACGGCGCAGTTCGTATATGTGTGCTTGTTGAGCTTGCATTTGCCAAACA